TCTATGTGAGACAGTAACCTAATCAGAACCTCAGATCAATTCTCCCCCTATGCATGGTTAAAGGGTTTTCTACAGCTCCCAGAGGGAATAACAGTGACAACATGGCAAGGGAAAGAGAGAAGATATATGGGGGAGAAAACTAAGGGGAGTGGAGAATGTATGTGGAAGCTGTCCTTGGCAAGTCCTTGGAAGAATTAGTGTATAAATGTCACTGACATTTGTCCCCTAGAGCCAAATTATTTAGAAAGATTTTTAAATATAATTTTACAATGTTTCATTTCCCAGGCATCATCTATGATATGTTAATATCATATCTTTCAAGTTAGGTCTCAGACTTGAATCTGAAGTTATTTCTTGAGCATCTGAGAGCAGACATTGAACTTCCATGTGCTGCATTTTTGATGGGAGCAGGGCATGTCAAGACAGGTCTGAACATAAAAAGAACTATTATTTCACATTTTCTGAGGCTCCCAGAGAGAGAAAACTATCTTCTTAAATAGAGTACTAGTATTTTTTTTCTTTGATAGGAACTTAAATTACAGGAAAATTCAGTTGGTTAAAACCCACCTTCTTTTTCGGCCTAGATATAAATCCTGCCAGTGGCGATGTGGAAATTTGTTCTTCCTCTCAGTAGAGGACATTATGCTGTTCATTTAAGGTTAAAAAAGTTACATTGTCTTCTAAATAATAGTTTGTCAGAGAAAAGCCATATTATATTCTCTTTTCAAATAATTTAAAATGTGAATAATCTCAGGTGAGTTTTTCTTAACTGGGAGAAAAGATTTGTTAAGCTATTTGCAACAGATAAAAGATGTTCTTTCTTCGAGGTCAGAAAAACTTCCTATCTCAAAAAGTATTGAACTGAAAGTCAAAAGTCACAGAAACCCAGAATCCACCCTAAATTGTCTCTCGTTCTTACCCTAAACTCCCAGTGGTTAAGTTCTACACCTTCTTCCTTCCACCATCTGTTCAATCTATGGGCATCTCCCCAGCCCCCACACAGAGCCTTATGTTTGGTTTCTGTCCCTCCATCCCCACCCGCCCCCGACCTTGCAAGTCTCCTAACTGGACTCTACATTTTCACTACTGTCCCCTGCCACTGCTGTAATTCACCTCTGCCATGTTGTTGATGTGAGCTCTCAAATAAATGCAGTCACAGTACCCCTCCCTGCTTGAAAGCTGTTCCTGGCTTTCCTTGTTGACTGATGTCCAAGTTTCTTACTTTGCCATCCCTGGGGCTCATGACTTGGCCTGTGGCCATTTCTATTTTCCACCCTACCTTCCAGACAGTCCTCCATGTTAACCCCATGCCAGAAATAATAGTTCACTATTCCCAGAACCCACCAGACTACTTTATTCTCCATATCTTTACTTAATCTGCTCCTATCATCCATCTTCTTCCACCGCCATTTTCCTTACCTACATTCATTGTTTAGACTGAGTTCAATGCTAAATCTCGGACTCTGCCTACTCTACCCACACAGGATACACTTCAGGTATCCCCTGTGTTCCATAGAGACTTGTGGACACAGTGTGCCATGTTTTATTGTGTTAGTTCAAATGATCTTATTTCACCTCCACACTTCATGCAATTAAGACTGAATCTTATCTAACAAGTTGTAATGTGTCTGGCACTTAGCATTCAATGTCTATTTGTGGAAAGAAGGAGGGAATGGAAAACCTAGGACAGGGCATTGGCTTGCCAAGGGTCAGAAAGTTGAGTTTAAATTTACTCAACTGAAAAATGTCAACAATGCTGCTAGCTCTTGCACTCCTGGAATAAAACCCTTCCCAGGCAGGCTGGTAGCAGCAGCTCTGGACACCATTTCCCCTTTGCTTTCCCCTGTGACCTCATTTCAGGCCTCCATCTCCTGCCTTCCCAGCTCTCCAGAGAAATGTGCCAGCTGAAAGTCTCTAGAATGTACCAAGCTACTTTCACTCCCTTTGGGTCCCCTCCCTCTCTCTCACAAATTGCCTTTGCCCTTGCTGATTTCTCGGCCTGGGAGGTGCTAACCGCAGCTCTGCGAGGCTGCCCACTTGTCACCAAATGCCCCCTACTCAGAGAGGTCTTGACTGACTGCTCTCTAAAGTAGGGCTGCTCATGCTTTGCCTGAGACGCTTTACTCTGTCAGAAGCTATCCTTTCCACTTATTTTATCTACATTAGTCCCATTGTTTCACAGGCAGCCGAAACCCAAAAATATTAATAGAAAATTCTAGAAATAAATAATTCATGTTGTAAACAACTTCTATTAAGGTATACTGTTATACTTATTCTATCTTGTTATTATTGTTAATCTGTGCTTACTTCGTAAGTTAAACTTTTTCATAGGTATGACTGGGGCAAAAATAATATATTTTGGGTTCTGTACTATCATCAGTTCCAGCTGTTCACTAGGGGTCTTGGGACATGTTTTCTACCATTAATGGGGGGACTACTGTATTTGTTTATTTTTTGAGTTGTATTCCTCACGGATGTCAACTGCAGGAGGGCGAAGATCACGTTGATCTTTTTCACTGTCTCATTCCCAGGGCCTGACACATAGCAGGCTCTTATGTATTTTGTTGATTGATATACCAGCTCATCTGAAAGAGTGGTTTCAGGATGGATCAGGCACAGCACATGAATGAAATTTATAAGCCAAAACCGTGATCCAAAAGTGAAGCACGGTTATAGGGACCAGAACAGGCATCGAAGAACCTGAGAAAGGTTCCATTTTTTATCTTAGGAAAAGAATACGCAGCTTGAGAACAAGTAATTCCTCATTTTAGGAGTTGGAATCTCAGCCTGGGTGACCAGTCCAGCCAAAGTTGAGTAGGATACTTATGGTAGGAAAGGTGATACTGGTATTTTAAGTGAAGGAGGCAGGTGGTTTGGGTCCTAGGACCCAGGAGCCAGAAGAGGAAACATCTCCTCACACAGGGCTCTGCCCTCTGCATGTGCTGTTGTTAGACTCTTCAGCCTAGAAGTAAATTAAAACAGGATTTATCTGGGTTAAGAAGGTAAAACACATCCGTGCAGGACTGGTCAATAGATGACCAGAAGGGGAGAGATGGGCCATGACTTTCTCTACAGGTTTCCCAGAAACACATGGTTCCTGGGCTTCATTTCCTTTCTCTGAAGCTCAACTTCCTTATCTTTAGAATGAGAATAATGCTTACTTAGAGTTGTTGCAAGAGATGAATCAATATACGTAAACAATTTGGGACAGCACCTAGCATAGAGTAAGCTCTCAATAAGGACTTGTTTTTAAAAATTAAATCTCATTTATTTATGAAAATTATTAACATGCAATACTTGAATACCCTATGGGGCACAGGAAAAAGCACATGCATAAAGCACACACTGATCATAGAGACAAGCAACTTTTCATGGTGTTTAGAGTCTATCACCTTTTTAGTTTTTGTGTTACATAGCATAATGCACAATTGTGAACTGCAGTCCCCTCATAGTGTTGTGGAACACTAGGACTTATACTTACATCTAATTGTGTTTTGGTACCCTTTATCCAACTCTCCTTTATCTCCCCTCTCCACCCACCATGTCCAGTCTCTGATAATCACTGTTCTAAGTTCAAATCAACTTTTTTTTAATGAAAAACTTCCAGATATGAGCAAATGCGAGGTCTTTGTTTTCCTGTATCTGCTTTATTTCACTTGACGGAATGACCTCCAGCTTCTCTCGTTTTGTTTCCAATGGCAAGATTCCATCCTTGTTTGTGATGGAGAATGTTGTGTATGCATACCACTTTATCTATTCACCCATCAGTGCACACCTCGGCTGCGTCCACAACTACAGAAATCCTCTTTGGTTTTAAACATGGGTCAAATATGTGGGTTCTAGTCTGTCCCATCTAGGGAGAGTAGGAGGAATAGGATAGATTCTCAGGATATCGCCTAAATGCCAAACACGTTAGCCCCAGAATACGACCAGGACTTGGACTTTTAGAGTGTACCTGTCTATCAGATCACAACCATCTTTCCCGAGCTTTCTCCCCTATGGCTGCTGGCTACAAAGCAGGAAGATGATACACCTTTAGAGTATTTTCCTTGGACCCAGAAGACTCTGATGATAATTATTTAGCTCACTATTTCAGAACGTTTAACAAATCATAATATTTATTTGACCAGAAGAATTGGGTTGATGAATTCACAATTATTTAATTCTAGACTTCATAAAATTCGCAAAAATGTCAAAGACATCAATCACATGTTCTTCACGCAGCCTGCCCTAAGGTTTTGATCATATCAAAATGATCAAAATAAAGAAATCAACACAGGAACCATAAATAAGGAATAGATTTAATTCAGATTTAACCTTTTTTTTCTAATGTCCTTTATCTGTTCCAATATCCTGTCCAAGGTCCCATACTGCATTTAACTGCATTTAATCTTGAGTCCGCAATCTGTGACAGGTCTGTGTAGTCTTATTATTACTTTTTTTTAGTCTTCTCTAATCTTTTATGAGCTTCATATCTTTGAAGAAAGCTTGCAGAATGTCCCTCAATGAGATTTTTATCTGATTTTTTCCCACAATTAGATTGAAGACGCACATGCACTGAGAAGAGTAATACAGGGGCCGGTGCTGTGGCGTAGCGGGTGAAGCGGCCACCTGCAGTGCCGGCATCCCATATGGGCGCCTGTTTGAGTCCTGGCTGCTCCACTTCCGATCCAGCTCTCTGCTATGGCCTGGGAAAGCAGTAGAAGATGGCCCAAGTCTTGGGCCCCTGCACCCACATGAGAGACCCAGAGAAAGCTCCTGGCTCCTAGCTTCAGATCGGCGCAGCTCTGGCTGTTGTGGCTAACTGGGGAGTGAACCAGCGGATGGAAGACCTCTCTCTCTCTGCCTCTCCTTCTATTTCTGTGTAATTCTGACTTTCAAATAAAATAAATAAATCTTTTTTTTTTTTTAAAAGAATGTGGGAGCAGAAGGAACAGGCCATCAAGGAGGGAGGTGCCTTTCTCTGAAGGGAGGAAAGAACCTCCACTGTGATACGGCCTTGACTAAACAAGTTCAAGAGTCGGTGAACTCAAGGTGCTTCCATAGCCTAGACAGCTCATAGCAAGAGTCTCGGGTGATTGCTGACGTCATAAATAAGAGTGTCAATTGTTAAATCAACAATGGGAGTCACTGGGTACATGCTCCCCATGTAGGATCTCTGTCCTTAATGTGTTTTACTATGAAACTTAAAAACAACACTACTAGTCGAACAATACCCTATACCTTGTGCGGTTGTGTGAGTGCAGCCTGTTGAAATCCTTGCTTAGTATATACTAAGTTGATCTTCAGTATATGAAGGTAATTGAAAATGAAACTCGATGAAGGGCGGGATGGGAGAGGGAGTAGGAGAGGGGAGGGCCACGGGAGGGAGGGAGGTTGGGGGGGGGGGAAGCCACAACAATACAAAAGTTGCACTTCATAAATTCACATTTATTAAATAAAAAAAACTATATAACAAACAAAAAAAAAGAAAAAAAAGAACTTAATACTTTACCCTTTTAGTATTTTTTATGTTCTACTTAAAACTATTGGTTGAACTCTGTAATTAATACACAATTACTCTTAGGTGTTTAATTAATGCTATAACTAGTACTCAAATAGTATTTTACACTTTATGTTTCTGTGTGGGTGCAAACTGTGGAAATCTTTACTTAATATATGCTAAATTGATCTTCTGTATATAAAGATAATTGAAAATGAATCTTGATGTGAATGGAAGGGGAGAGGGAGTGGGAGAGGGGAGTGTTGTGGGTGGGAGAGAAGTTATTGGGGGGGAGCTATTGTAATCCATAAGCTGTGCTTTGGAAATTTATGTTCATTAAATAAAATAAAAAAAAAAGAATGTGGGAAAGGGAAATCTGAGAAGTTAAAAAAAAAAGAGTAATATAGAAATGATGAGATGTTTCCAGTGAAAGATATCAAAGGTACCTGACATCACTTGTTACCTGGTTGAGGCAGTGGCTTCCAGATGTCTCCATTGCTATTATTTTTCCTTTTATGGTCAGTAAGTATCTTGTGAGAGGTTCTTTGAAAACAAGTACATTATTTGTCCCTCAAATTTTTACTCACTAATGTTAGTATTCATCTGTGGTGGCCAGCACTGCAGCTCACTAGGCTAATCCTCCGCCTTGCGGTGCTGGCACACCAGGTTCTAGTCCCGGTCGGGGTGCCGGATTCTGTCCTGGTTGCCCCTCTTCCAGGCCAGCTCTCTGCTGTGGACAGGGAGTGCAGTGGAGGATGGCCCAAGTCTTTGGGCCCTGCACCCCATGGGAGACCAGGAGAAGTACCTGGCTCCTGCCATCAGATCAGCGCGGTGCGCCGGCCACAGCGTGCCGGCCGCGGCGGCCATTGGAGGGTGAACCAATGGCAAAGGAAGACCTTTCTCTCTGTCTCTCTCTCACTGTCCACTCTGCCTGTCAAAAAATTAAAAAAAAAAATTAAAGTATTCATCCGTGGAGATCTTGATTGCAACAATTTATGGTGTTTTCTCTCATTTTCCTGCATTTTTTATTATTTGAGAGGCAGACATACACACACACACAAGCTGTACCAGGGAACTAGAAACTCAGTCCAGGTCTCCTAGGTGGGTGGTGGGGACCCATTTATTTAAGCCATCACTGCTGCCTCTTAGGGTTTTCCTTAGCAGGAGGCTGGAATCACAAACCAGAGTTGGACCTCAGTTTCATGCACTTCAATATGGGACACAGGCATTCCATCTGGTACCTTAACCACTAGGCTAAATGCCCACCCCTTCTCTATATTTCTTCCTTTTTTTAAAAAAAAGATTTACTTATTTATTTATTTGAAAGGCAAAGTTACAGAGAGAGGGAGATACAGACAGATCTTCCATCTGCTGCTTCACTCCCCAAATGGTTGCAATGACCAGGGCAAGGCCAGGCTGAAGCCGGGAGCCTGGGACTCTATCTGGGGCTTCCACGTGACTGGCAGTGACCCAAGTATCGAGCCATTGTGTCTCAGTGCACATTAGCAGGAAGCTGGATGGGAGTGGAGACTTGAACCCAGGCACTCTGATGTGGGATAAGGGTCTGCCCAGCAGTCTTAACTGTTATGCTAAACCCCTGCCCTGCCCCATTTCTTTTCTATGCACTCTTTTCCCTTGGAGAATTACAAGATATTCCAGACTTATGTGATATGTTCCCTAGCCTCACCTCAGAGACAACCACCAAGACCTGGACAAAAGGAGTGCTGGGTGCTACAAAGTTGCCAATATTCATAACTTCATTCCCTAGTCTGAGAAACCTCCTCCTCTCAGTACAAAATACTTACTTTGAGAAGAAAATGTGCTGACTTGACTACAGTAGTAGTTTACAATATTCTAACTTCATGACACATTTGTGCTAAATCATGCTCACCATACAAATAGTTTTTATAACCCATGTGATCTGGGGTTTTTGAGGAGGTGGAAAACCTTTATGTAAAGTATTGCATACTTAAGTTGACAGGTACTGAATCTTCTGCATTCCACTTCCCAAGAACTTCAAATGCATCCTCCTTGTCTAGTAAGCATTGTTTGGAAGTTGAGATCAGAAGCACTGTATCAGTGCATCGTTTATTATACATGTAATCACACTTGGCTGTTTGCAAAGCACATAGTTGTAATGAAAAGCACTGCTTGTCCCATTGTTCCTTTTTTCCTTAAGAAAAAAATAACATGCTTCCCAGAATGGGAACATCAAGCCCTGCTCCAGGGAGGCAGGCTCGAGCCAGGTGCCAGGACGATGGGAGGAAATAAGTAACAGATGTTATGGGATGATGTCAGACCGAAGGCAACTCCCATTTGTGAGCGTTGCACATGTGTGCACACAAACGCATACATGCAGGCACACGGGCGACCCAGGTCAATGGCTCACTTTTCAAGTCAATTTCTTTGTTTAATGGGAGAAATATATTCTTAAAGTTTCTTCTCTGTGTAAAATATCCATGCATTTTGAGGAAGGAAACTTGTTGAATGGGTGTGTGCAGTGACTTAAAATATTCAAGAATTCTCTTTTGCGGTTGTCTTCAAAGCCAGTTTACAAATGCTTTAAAATAAGTAATTTTACTTTACAGTCACGTCTTATATGTTGATCCAAAATATTATTCAGTTTGATCTTTCACTTTATTTATCACCCTTGGCTCTGAATAACTTCTGGTTATTTCAAATATGCTTCTAAAGGATAAGAATTTTCCATCCCCAAGGGATAAAAGTTTGAGAATGTTAAGAATATATTCTAGGCATGATGGCAACCCCGGAGAGCACTCCCCCAGCCCCAAACTGGTTCTCTCCCCAACAGAAAATTTTGAGCAATGGCACCATTGTAAAATAACTAGCTGTCAACAGCTCAAGGACATTCTGTCGTCTGATGGTTTGTTTAGCCTAGAGTCACGCCTTGAATGCAGAGCGACTCTCAAAGGGATGCCGAGAGCTGAAGACGCTTGACAATATCTTGGTGAGATGATTAAGCATCCTGCATTCGGCTTCAGTTTCATGTTTAGAGAAGCGGAATCCCTGAAGAATAAAGACATATGTCTCTACCGGCACACCAGTGATGTACCAGACACGAGCTCTGCTATGCGGACTTTATCCGCACACCACTCCGCATCTCCAATGAGACGGCCTCTGCGCCTCTACTGCCGATTGCTGTGTGCATTGCTTCAAAGAGATCACAATAAGGCCATGAGGGAAAGTTGTGGTGTCGTGGGATGCATGCGACGTGGGAAGCAGAGTACCTGGCTGGGAATTCAGAGATTAATCAAGTAAGGCAGTGCCTTTGAACACACTTGCACTGTGTCGGGCACCTCAGTGTTGATCCTGAATCTGAAACTGAGAAGTCAGAGCTATAGAAGTCAAGCCCTCTGAATTTTAAGTGCATAGTTTAATAATGAGATAAAAACACATGCTAGAAGCGGTCAGACTTTTAATGACTCAATACAGTAAATCTCCTACTTCTTAATAAGAAAAGTATAAAAAAGATGAGGGGATGAGGGAACAGAGTCTATAATTATTCTGCCAGGTCATGAGGTGTAAGTAGGTAATTTTAGAATGTTCTATAACTGTACTTTAAACCATAGTTTACATTAAGTCAGGGTAGTAATTTTTCAGGTTTCTTAGAGCAGGGCTTATTTTTCTGGTGTAGAGATGTCCAACTCATCGGGCAAAAATGTTCATGTAGCTTGGACTTCTTCCTCATCCAGATTTCTTTAATCCTATCCGCACCATAACCTAATGCAATGTGTATAAGTGTGCACACACAGGTACACCACACTGTCTTACTCTCCAACACATGCAAATTAAAGCCAAATAGGTGTAACTGTTCCCATTTTGCCTTACAATTTAGATTTTCGAGGAAAAAGTCCTCTTCTATTTTTCTCCTTGGGAGAAATATATTAACATTCTCAAACGCATTGGCCTCACGCATTCCCTTTCTTTCCTCAGATGTAAACCTTGCAGCCCTGCCAACATTTTCTAATATCTACATGTCAAATGCAGATTACAAGCCCCCTGGGCTGGATTCACACTGGCCTGTTGGCTTCTCACAGAACCTTACACAGCCTTGTCACTAGCTTGATGTTAAAGCAAATAATGTTAGCATCCTTAGCAAGGTCTTTTGCGCTGAAAACGGAGGAAATCCAACGACAATAACCATGCTGAGAATAAAATCAGTCACTGCTGTAATTACTGGGTCAGAGGCAGGTAAGTGCAATTATTCCTATACTGAACAAAGACAGCTGGGGAGTAGCGGGCTCTGCCATGGGAGGCAGGGTGCTAGATCCATAGACCCACACATGTCCCACACCCACATGTTACCTCCTATGTGATTTTCCCCTACGCTTTTCTCTTTGTTTTTAAAAACAGTCTTAAATTGGTTACTACCTTTTTTCCCTTTCTCACACTACTTTCTGTGCTTACAGGCAAGGACAGTAAATTAAGCATATCTAAAGATTTAAATGCTCAGAATCACCTTGGATAATTGGCTTAAGGGGTTGAGATTTGCTTTTCCCTCCTTCTCCTAGACCTGATGCTGTTTTCTCCTCTGAGAGTACATCTGTCAATAGTTGATGGAGCTTTCTTGGGTAAATGAACTGTTTCTTGGGACATTATAAATCATATTTGGAATCAAGTTTATTTTCAAGCTGCTTTTAAAGTCTCGATGCTGTGCTAACTGAATAGAAAATGCTAAATGTTTGAGGGAGTAGTGCAAGCTCTCCAGTGCGAACGGCATGATCAGGACTTAAGAAAACAAATGGAATTTATATCCACCGAGTACACAAGAACACGATTCTGTTTTTTCAGAAAACTGTGTGGGGTTGGAGAGGACCTTCCAGAAGGAAACTCCCCAGTTATCTCCTGTGTGCTGAGCGCCAGGATCTGTGCTGAGCTTGAGCCTCACAACAGAATCACCTGGCAGGCGTTGCTATACCTCTTCTAAAGATGAAGAAACTGAGGCCTAGGAAAGCTGGTAACCCCTTCAGTGCACATAGTGATCAAGTGGTAGAGCTGAAATTGGAACAGGTCGGGTTGTGAAGTTCATGCTGTTCTCACTCCACCAAAAATCAGGCACTTTCTGTGACATGGTCTTCCTTCTGTATTTGGTGGTGTCTTGTTCTTCATGGATCTGGTGTTGAGACTGAGCCAAGGACTCGTTATCATCAAGCCCTTACAGGTTGCTCAGTTCTGCTCTAACCAGTGCAAGCACTACCTGTATCCATTTTTTTTTTTTTTTTTTTTTAGAGAGGGCTTTGACATGAAATTTTAGCAAGGTTCTGCTGCCAAAAGAAGTTAAGAAACTTTAATCAAGATTTATTTTAAAAAATTATTATAAAATAAGGTTATTAGAATATGTAAGAACATGACATGACCAATCTGTAAAAAATGGAAAATATTTTTCTTCTTTCTCTGCTTCAAAAGGTACTCCCAAAGAATATTCTAGAATGGCCTTATTCTAACCATTAAGAGATAACCTCGGGGCCGGTGCTGTGGCGCAGCAGGTTATTGCCCTGGCCTGAAGCGCCGGCATCCCATATGGGCACCAGTTCTGGTCTCAGCTGTTCTACTTCCAGCGGATGGAAGACACTCCCCCACCCCCCCCAAGCCTCTCCTCTCTGTGTAGTTCTGACTCTCAAATGAATAAATAAATCTTTTTTTTTTTTTTAAAGAGATAGCCTCAGACTCAGAGTCCTAGGCTTTCATTATTTTGTTAGACATTAACCTGCCCTTCTGCAGTTTCCACATCTATAGGCTGGATCTGCTAACCTCAGATGCTTGTTGAGATGATCAAAGGAGACCAAAGATCACAAACCAGTTCAAAAAAGAAAGAATAAGGCTGAAATATAAGGCATTGCCACTATCTGGACTGCATTTTCTACATTTTAGGAAATTGAGAAATCATGGATAATTGATCTGAACATTATAGTTAAGATTTCAAAGGCAAAATATTAATAGTTGAGGCTATTTTAGCATAGGACAGATGGGGATGTAAAAGGCATGAGACCATTTTAAAAGCTCTTTCCAAACAATTATTTTAGAGACAATAGCTTATCAAGTTAATAATATCTGCCCTTGAGTTTTAGTATAATATTGGCTGCTATTCAAATGAGAAGATTTTTGCTTCTTTTTTTTTTCCCCTCTCCTAAAATATATGCTTGATTTGAAAGGATGAAATGGCTGATGTGATATCTGACTCGTGCTGATTGGGGTAAGACATTGTTTCCTTAATGCCGCTCTCCTTGTCATTCTTTCTTCCTTTCCCTCCTGTACTCGCATGTTTATTCCTTCCCTTCTAGAAAACATAAAACACCAACTACGTACACACATGAATACAATGGCTGTTTCAAAAAGTGTCAGTCCAACACCTAAATCAATAACACGTCACTGAGATATGAACTATGGCCAGAAGTCTGCTTTCACCCCACAGACACCATTGTAAACATCATGGGAGCCCAAAGGATAGAAGGCTCAATCCTGCCTGGAGACAATCAAAAAGATGTCATGGTGAGTATGTAGCTACTGATAGCACAAGTGATTGCCTCTTTGCATCGCCAGTTGTTTCTTATGAGTTGCATTTCAGCCCACATGGAACCTGCTCCTGCTCCTGGGTCTTCTTAGTACCAGAATGTTCCTCAGCTGAAATCCCGGGCGAGAGCCTTCTATATTTCTTGCTCTCTGTCCTTCCGTTTTTGACCTCACAAAGACTTGTACCTGCAGACCTGTCTCCCCGATCCCCATTCTTTCCCATGCCTCTCCTGCTTTCCACTTTCTCCTTTCATGTGTCACCCTCCCTTCCATTTAGGAAATGAGGCACAAGGAGGCTACCTTGGTTATGAGAGACCTCAGGAGAATGTATGGGGAAAGTCGAGAACAAAAAATGAGAGCCAATAATTTAATATTTTAACCTTGTTTTCCTCTCCTCACTTAGTTCTTTTCAGATATTCAATAAAATTTTCAAATCTGATTTTCAAGTACTTCTGGCCTGAGAGGGAACAAATAGTTTCTAAGTAGTACCTGTAAGGCAGGTTCCTCTTTTAGACAAGGTTGCTATTGATGGTGCTTGTCTGGATTGTATAAGTAATGTCACTTGGTGAAACCGAGAGAGAGAGAGAGAGAGAGAGAGAGAGAGATCTTCCATTTGCTGGTTCACGTCTCAAATGCCCACAAGAGCTGGGGCTGGGTCAGGCAGAAACCTGGGGCCTGGGTGTCCATGGGGGGCTCCCAGATGGGAAGCAAGGACTTGACCACTTGGGCCATCTTTTACTGCATCCCAAGCACATTAGCAGGAAGCCGGATGGGAAGCCCTGAGTAACTGGGACTCAAACTAGGCACTCCAATATGGGATGTGGGAATCTCAAACAGCAGCTTAACCCCCTGCAGCACCACACCAGCCCCCATATCTATTTCTCAAAGTGTCTGGTTTTGGAGGCATCTTGTCCCTCTGTCATCACAGGACAACAGCTTCAACAAACACTTCGCCCTGGCTAAGAGGCCCAATCTGCAGACCACTTGAGTGTCAAAGTCTGTTCACTGTGAATTAAAATGAGAAATAAACTACAGAGAAAGATGGAAGTGAAAATTGAAGGAGGTGATTCTGGCAACCTACCCTCTTTCTAGCCATCTCCCTAATCATGTCCTTCCTGAATCCAGAGTGTGGGCCCATGCTGTCACAGCAGGCTCATATTAGCATGAGAGCCTTCAAAGCTCTCACAGTTACCTGTGCAGCCTACAGAGGTGCACAAAGCATGCAGTCTTGGAGCCAGACTACTGTGGCTCAGATTCTGGTTCTACCACTTACTTTCTGCATCAGCTTGACAGGTGACTAAACTCTCAAAATTTTATTTTTAGATTTGTAAAAGGGAAGAGCTAAAACTACCTGTGTCCCAGGGTTGACAAGACCTCGCGTTTATTGAATGCTAAACTCTCACTATGGATACAATACCACAGAAAATGGTGAGGAGAGTTAGGACATTGAATGAAGATAAAACTTCTCCTGACCTTGCTGCTGTCAGGGGGGCCTTCTGCTTCTCCAGGGGGAATTTCTATGACTCTTTTTTAGTGTTTGCTATTCTGAGAATGTTACTGAATAATCATAATAACTGACCTTAAGTCAGACCTTGAGATGAATTTTACCTTCAAGAGCTCATCTGATCCTCTTCAAAATTTTCCAAGATAGGTTAAAAAAAATTCCATAACATAGATGAGACTAGTGAGGCTTCAACATCTCAGGTAATTTGAGGATTTATCCCTAGGCCTGTCTGCCACTAAAACCTTTGCTCACTATCCACACCATGGTTTTTCCTCAGTTAGTTATTATCACTAAATAGCTCATTCTTGTTGTAATTGTCTGCCACAAGCACAATAGGAATTGGGAGCACCTCTTTTCTAGCCTGTTAGATACTTCAGAATTATGACTGCCCATTTACTGTTTGGCAAAGTCAGGATCATGTCTGCCTGGCTCATTTGCCTACAGGAGGAGTTCTTTGCAAATCTAAATCTATTCATTCTACAAGGTATAACTCAAAACCAATTAAGAAACAGCTATCTGGCTAGATGCATACTATGCTTAGTGCCATGATGACCTCCCTCTCTATTCTTATTAGTGAATTTTAGGTATAGCACTCATCAGTTTTACTGTGAAATTGCAATAATAATAATAATAAAAACATTTATCAAACTTTGGCTTAGTGCTAAAATATTTACAAACATTATTTCATTTAACCACATGAAAATCCTCACTGGTAGACACATACACCATGCTTCTCATTTTTCAAAGAGCATTTTTTCTTATTTATTTTATTTGAAAGGGAGGGAAGAGAGCAGAGAGGGTGAGAGAAAGGGAGGGAGGGATGAAGAGAGAGAGAAAGAGAGAAAGATTTCTTCTATCTGCTGGTTTACTTCTGAAAGACCCACAAGAGTCAGAGCTGGAAAGCTGGGCCAGGCTGAAGGCTGCAGCTGGAACTTGGTCTGTTTCTCTCAGGTAGATGGCAGGGACCCAACAACTTGAACTATCAGTTGATGCCTCTGAGGGTGCACATTAGCTAGAAGCTGGAATTAGGAGTAGACCCAGGACTCAAACCCAGGCATTCTGATATGGTATGCAGGCATTTCAAACCACATCTTAATCAATACACCAAGCTTCTCATTTTTGAGAAGAGAAAATTGAGATTTAGAGAGGTTATCTTACATGCCTAAAACCACAAATATGATGGAGCCATGATTCAAAAGGTCTCATTCTGAAGCCTAGGTTTTACCACATTTTCTTATCCATATTAGTTCTGTATTCTCAAACACAATATAAAGTGGCTCTAGAGTTAACCATATATTACCAAGGCCATAAGGTGGCCCTAGAGTTAACCATACATTACCAATATATTACTATATATTACCAATATATTACCAAATACTACCAGTAGAGTTTCACAAATTGGTTCATACAATGGGTTGGTTTGCTTGTTTGCTTTTTGAGTTTTTATGTTGTTTAGACAAGGCCGATTGTAATTCTCACCTAACTATCTTCACACAGGCACACCAAACTACTCAGCCTATGGAAAGTGCTTCCAGGAGCCCCTTGGTCTGTTCATTGAGGGATGAGGAGCCATTGACTTCTAATCAAAGACAGAGAACAAATCAATGGGTGGATGTCCTATATCTTGAATTGATGTGATTAAGGGCTCCACCACTCCATTTCTGGGAATCAGGTATATCCATTGATCCTATTTATCTTAACTACCTTTGAGAGAAAGCTTTTCAGTTTCTTCCACCTCTGAAGAGAAATTCATGCCACTGTTCCATGGAAAAGATGAAGTAGGACATGAGGCTGAAGGATGAGGGAAAAGCAGTGTAACCTGGATCTCTGCACATAGTCATGCCAGAGTGCTTGCTCCGTGTCAGGTAGTGCTCTCAACTTTCACGCATTTAGCTCACTGAATCCTCACAACAACCCTAAGAGGCTGGACTAGCTGTCTTCAGATGATCTTAGACCTGTACATAGTGTCAGAGAGAATACAGGATCAAGAGTCTCCATTTAGTCTGTCTGACGACAGAGACCAAGTTCTAACCACTTTGCTGTAAAATAGTCCCCTCCCTCCTCTTTCCTGCAGAGTATGCTCCAAGACCCCCAGTGGTTGCCTGAAACAGTGAATAGTACTGAGCCCTATACCTCAGCACTTATGCTCTCTGGCCATAACTTCTGCAGTGTGAGGTGTGACAGCAAAACTAGTATGAATTTCTTCCTTCCTCTACAATTCTTATCACAGATCTTAGCCACCTCAGAATATGATTTTTTTCCCTTTCCTTAAGCCAAGATCTTTTATGTTTTCACTTGAAGGCAGTTCTTTAAGTCTTCTCTTGGCATGTCTGAATTGCCAGCACCACTCCTCTTGAGCTTTGGGACTGCTTTTAAGTAAAATAAGGGCTATATGAATGCAGCACAGCAATTCTGAAACATTCCACCTGACAACCCAGACACCTAAGTGACTAATGGATGGGTAGCCCACATAGTGTGAATAACTGGACATTCCACTTTACATTGTGTTCCCAACAATGTAAAGTGGAATAGCTCAAGATTGCATCATCTACTTAGAATGGCATGCAATTTGAAACTTATGATTTATTTCTGGAATTTTCCATTTAATAATCTCAGGACAAGATTGGCTGTAGAAAGCTGAAACCATGGAAAGTGAAGCTGTGAATAAAAGGGAGAACTAATCTTCAGTCTCTGGTAAGTTGGAGAAAATGGTAGATAACCTCTGCTTACAGGCAATGATGGGCAGGGCACGGAAGAGAAAAGGAACAGCTGAATATTTATTGAGTTCCAAGTACTGTGAAGATATTTTATATTTAAAACTCTCTAGGGTGGGAATTACATCTTTAATTTACATATGAGAAAGCTGAGTTTCAAGGGTTAAATGAGTTTCCCAATGCTATTGTGTTGGCAGATGTAGAACTCCGCTTTGAATCATCATGTGCTTTTTCTGTCACCCTGCAAAGTTTTAATAGGAGACCCTTCCTGATCCATCAGATGCCTGTGACCAATGACAACATTTGAATTCTATGTTGATTTCCTTTCAATAAACAGCTAGTATCAGGGCACTTTATTTTTATAGGCTCAGCTAAGAAAGTTAATTTGCTATAAATTTTTTTGCGTTGTTTTCTAAAATTTGAAAGGCAGACCTTGGTCTGTGGTAACTAACAGAGCATCCAAAAGTCATCTATAGAAGTGAAAGTGACACTTTGAGAGGTGATGACTTTGAACAGCTTTTGTCTCCAATGTTGAGGAATATTTTTTCTTTTCATTCTATTTTTTGAACACTTTACTTAGTGTAGAGTTAATCTTGTGTGTATAAAGTTAATTGAAAATAGATCTTAGTAAAAAATCAGAATGAGAATAGGGGAGGTGGGAGGAAGAAGGGTGGTAGTACAGGTATGGTGGGAAGAATCACTATCTTCCTAAAGTTGCATTTATGAAATGCATGAAGTTTGTATACCTTAAATAAAAGGTTTCTGGGAAAAAATATTTTGAAAGGCAGAGGGAGAGCAAGAGAGCTTCTATCCTTCCATCCTCTGGTTCATTCCCTAAATATCCACAACAGCCTGGGCAGGAACCTGGGTGTCAAAAGGGGGCTCCCATTAGGATGACAGGGACCCAAGTACTTGAGCCATCATTGGCTGTAGGAAGCTGTTATTAGAAGCAGAACCAGGACTCTTGAACCCTGGCAGTATGATATGGTATAACTGCTGTGCCAAATTTCTGCCCCCCAAAAATGCGTAATGAAAATTCAAGGGATGTGGCAAAACAAAAATGTCATCACTGGACCAGGACTTGTAGGGGGTGCTTTTCAGAGCTTAATGTCCTGTTCTTAACTCCTTCACACCTCTCTATGTGGGGAAGTGAGGAAGTGACTTTCTCTTCATGGTGTTTAATTTCTGCAGTGGAAGACTTGGATGAGACAGTCTCTATATCCTTTAGCATCCTAGAATTCTGCCTAGAATGATGGTGATTTTAAGGCCAAACTACACAGAATCTGAGCTTTGGAAAGGCCACTGGGAGGATGAATTTTGCCATTCAATTCCTCTGCAGCTTTGCAGACCTAACCTAGGCCCTTGCATCTTTTGTCTGGGTTCTTTACCCAGTCTCTTGGTTTCTTGGTTTGTCTTTAGATTTCCATTTTTTTTTTTTTTTTTTGACAGGCAGAGTAGACAGTAAGAGAGAGAGACAGAAAGAAAGGTCTTCCTTTGCCGTTGGTTCACCCTCCAATGGACGCCACGGCCAGCGCTGCGGCCGGCGCACTGCACTGATCCGAAGGCAGGAGCCAGGTGCTTCTCCTGGTCTCCCATGGGGTACAGGGCCCAAGCACTTGGGCCATCCTCCACTGCACTCCCGGGCCACAGCAGAGAGCTGGCCTGGAAGAGGGGCAACCGGGACAGAATCTGGCACCCCGACCGGGACTAGAACCTGGTGTGCCGGCGCCGCAAGGTGGAGGATTGGCCTAGTGAGCCGTGGCGCCGGCCTCCAGTCTTGCCTCAACACCCACAACAAGTAGTCTTTTTGAAACATTCTTAAGTGGCCATCAAAGAAGGATGTACTTTTCTCTAAAGGGAGGAGAGAGCTTCCACTTTGCTGATGGCCTTGTCCAAATACTGATGGAGTTTGTGAATTCAAAAGGCTTCTGTAGCCCAGGCAGCTCATGTCAAGAGCCTTGGGTGATCACTGATGTCATACATAAGAGTGTTAATTGTTAAATTAACAACAGGAGTCACTGTGCACTAACTCCCCAGGCAGGACCTCTGTCCTCAATGAATTGTACTTTGACAGTTAACTGTAAAACTAGTTTTCAAACTATCTGTGTTTATGTGTGTGTGTATGTGTGCAAATTGTTGAAATCTTGACTTAGCATAGAGTTGGTCTTCTGTGTACAAAGTTAACTGAAAATGAACCTTAACGGAGAATGGGACTGGGAAGGGGAGGGGGAGGAGGAGGAGGGGTGGGAGTGTGCGTGGGAGGGCGGGAATGCTGGGAAGAATAACTGTATTGCAAAAGTTGTACTTACGAAATTTGTATTCCTTAAAAAATAAATTAAAAAAATTAAAAAAGAAATATTCTTAGATTATGTGAGACTAAATAATCCAATGGAAAAGAATGTTAAACTATCACAAAACTCCTAAGTAACTCGCTGACCCCTATAGAAAGAGGGCCATGATCTATGCCACCTGCTATCACCTCAAATGTTTCAGTAATGATGTGTCCATGTCTGAACACAGTTCAGTTCAGGTAACTCCCCTGCTTAAAATCCTATAATGGCTCCTTGTGTCTGTGGATTAGGTCTGCATCTCCCCTTCTTTTACTCTTGACCTTGGCCTTTGTGCCCAGGTTGAAGAGCCACATCATGCTATTTCTCACCTGTGTGCCTCTGCCCTCTGCTGAGCATGCCAGGGACCTCCTCCTCTGTGTGTCTTTTGTCTCAACTCTAGTGCCACATCTGTCAGGCCAGTTCCCACAGACCGCTGAAGTGCCTTGCCACATTAGAGGCAATAGTGTTACCTCTATTAAAATTTAATTACCTGTGCTTTACCTGTGTTTCCTACCAAACTGGGAGCCTCTTAAAGCAAGGGTTTTGACTACTCATTCATCTTTGTGTTCCCAAATATGAGTAAATATGTTGACCACTCAGTGATCAGTAATACAGAAATATCAGCTTCTAATTGCTTTAATCAATTAATTAAGAGTTGGGGAGAGGGAGACAGAGAGGTGTATAGAGGAGGAGAGAAGGGGAGAGAGGGAGGGGGCAAGTGAGAGCTTCCTCATCTGTTGGCCCACTCTCCACATGCCCACAACAGCATGGTCTGACCCAGGGTCAAAACCAGGAGTTGGGAATATACTCTGGTCCCCGACATGGGCAAAAAGAACTCAACTATCTGAGCTGTCACTGCTGCCTCCCGGGGTGTGCACCAGCAGAAAGCTGGAGTCAGGAACTGGAGCTGCTGATAGACCTCAGGCAGTTCCTGGTATCTTAACTGTCCAATGCTTCAGCTTCTAATTTCTAAGACAGACTTCTTTACATTTTGCCAAAATTTCCTTCCCTATTGGTCCAGATTCTAGCCTCTGAAATTATTTAATCTCCCCCCCCACTTTTTGGCAAAATGTAAGTTGAAATATGTGAATTCAATTAAATCTCTTCTCTAGGATAAAGGTCCCTGCCTCTTGTACCTGTCTTCTTGTACTTAGATTGTGCCTCTCTTCACTGTCCCAGCTGGCCTCTTTTAATTGTAGTTTGTTGACACTTGGCTCTTTTAAAACAAGACGCCCAGATCAGAATTCTAGTTTCCAGATTTTATTCCAAGTAGCAATCAGCCCACTTACCTGCCCTGTACTCTAAAGTAATTAAAAGATGCATAAGGTAGCAACTGACTTTGGAAATGTAATACATGTAGTAAAATATACATATAATGAATGTACATAAAATATATAAAAATAAAAAGCTCTTGGTCCTTTGTCTTATGAATGTCTTCCAATAACACTGGGGCATGGGTAGGCACTGTTCTTATCTCCCCTTTACAGATGAGAAGAGTTAGGCTACTTTTTCCAGGCCATACTAAGAAGGTGAGTGGCAGAGACACAATGGTAACTTTTACTGACTTTAGACTTGTTTAGAACAGTCCCATGTATAAACCACCAAACTGTACACAGATGCCCCAAGGGGCCTCAGTTAGCTTCCTGAAACTGAGTGCAAATATTAGGTAAAAGCACGTGTTTCTATGGTGAAGGCACCTCATATTTATCCTGCTCTCTAAGGAATCCTTGGTCCTAGAGAGGTTAAGAAACACTGTGTTAAGGGTATACTGACATTGAACTGTAGCCAATCGAGTGTGGATTTATTTGCCTATCCTCTGCTCTTAAATTCCTCCAGTCAAGTTGCCTAATTGGTTTTCTGAAGCTACCTTTAGCCCAGTATACTTATCCCTGCTGTATTTCCTCCTACCAGTTTCTTCTCTTTCAAAGCTCTTTCTTTCCATCACACCTCTGTTATTTCATGTACTTGCTATTTTCCACAAATAACTTGATGGCACTCTCTCTTGATCCATATGTAAGTCACTGGTGAAAAAGAGGCCTGACCCAGAGGAGGGTAGTGGCTATGAATATGGTTCGCAAGGCCTGTGTCTCATTTGCTTTTCTCCTCAGGTTGCTCATGGTTTCTCTAGGGAATAGACGAGGCACTGCTCCGTGTTGCAGTGATTAAGCAATGTGCTATTCCCAAGCAGCAGCAGCTGCAGCCTTGCTGTGTGTCTGCAGATTTCTGAGGCTGTGCCTCACAGGACAGCATTGTCCTGAGTGCTCTTTAATGCAGCATTCCTCAGCTCCTGCCATTAAAAGCCCTCCAGTTAGCTGAGAGTTATTATTTCCTTGTCACTTTCTTGCAGCACATCCCATTTCACCGCTACCTCCCTGTCCCCATGTCTGGTGTCACACAAATGAGGTTTACCCTGATTTCCTTAATTTTATTTGTTGTGTCATTTCAAAGGCAAACAGAACTGTGGTATTAATGGTGGAAGAGTTTCTAGTTTCCTGTTTATTTTCCAAAAAAAATTACAGTGAGCTACATCTAGTGATGTTAAGATCCTGTCAAGAATACATATTCCCAATTTCTGAAGAAAAACAAATGATCAAGAACTTTAGATTTTTCTACAAGCTTGAGGCTGATTGTTTATGGCCTCCTCTGTGAT